GGAGGAGGAGGAGGAGGACTCACCGGAGCTTGGGGACGGCGGCTGGAGGCAGGACGGGAATTTCATTGGCAAGGAGAGAGAGAGACAGAGGTGAGAAAATTGGAAATTGTGAGGGTGATGACTGATGAGGGCATAGCTATAATAGATGAATCATGTATATATATGATGTATGTATGTATATTAGTTATTTGCTTTTTAATAAAAAAAATTATATATATATATATATATATATATATGTCCACGTCATATGAAATGTTCTTGTAATTTTCGTTAGTGGTTAGCTACTAATTCAACAGTTGATTGGTTCCACCGCTTGAACCGATTAGAATGTTATTTAATTTATTAATATTTTGATATATGATATTTTATGCATTAAAAGTTATATATAAAAACTTTATTAATTAAATCTTTAGACAATTTAAAACCTTCAAATACTTAAATTGACTAATAATAACTAATTTATATATATATATATATATATATTTATTATATTAAATATGTCTTTTATTATTTATATTAAGTATTTTAAAATATATTAAAATTTACTTAAGAAAAACTGGATTATCTGTTAAAACAGGTCTAACTAGTCGTTGACCAGTTTTTTACCGGTTCGCTGGCAACCGATTCATTCCAACGAACCGATCTGATTTTCTAAATCATGGTAATATCGATGGCAAACTTTTTTTTCAACATAAATATGCATTGCTGTGAAAAATGTATGACGGATTAACTAATCTAACAATTAACCGAATCGTACAAAAAAAAATGGAACAATAGATAATTATTGTACGAGGTTGCCTAACCAATTATCGACAGGTCGACCGGATATACATTTTTATTAAACATACATTGTTATTTCATAAAGTTTCGTACTTTTATTTGGTTTGTTCAATAGGACATTAAAGCATCTTCAACGCACAAATGTTATTGTGGTAAATTATATTCCACATCAACATATTTAGTAATGTCAGAATTTTTCATCCTCAAATGCATAATATGTGATCACAGATGTACATTATATGAACATAATTAATGTCTACAATGTAGAAAAGAATGTGGTTGATCTACATTCTTTTCCACTCTCTAACTAGCCAATAGAGATAAGAGAGAGAATTATTCTTACAAATTCTAAATTAAATTATGCTACATATTATAAAATTTTAAACTATTTAATTACGTTTTATACTACATATTATAAAACTTTAATATTTAGTAAGTAGATAATATTGTAGTTAGACTAAATTGTGTATTGGAGATAATTTTTTATTTCATAATTGTAAACTAAGCATTTTTCCTACATATGTAATTCACAATCTATTTAATTTGTTGATATTTAGTAAAATTTATTCAATAACAACATTCTAATATTAGAGATTATAACCATTAGACTTGTCAAATCACCATGTTTGAATAGATAAATATAATATTATGTACATGTACATTAAATTAAAGATAAGAGCCATAACTTGCATTTTTCAACTAACAATCGAACATTCTAGGCTTCTAGCTTCATTTTTTGCTAAACTAATGTAGTGGACTTTAAGTTTAAAACTCAGTTTGATTTTATTTTTATTTTTTTAAATTCATGCAGTAGTTTCTAACGACATCGTTTTGACACGGCCGAGACGGTGTCGTTTTGCCTGAAACCATCCACAAAAAAAGGAGGAATTGAACAAGATTTGCAGAGGCTAACATGAACAACTTCATTTGGAGCTTCAATCCAAGCAGCGAGAAGATCATCGCCCATTTCGCACAGCTGACGATTTGAAGATGGTGAAAGTTGGGACTTTCTTCGCTATGTCTTTTCGCGCCTTCCTCTTCTGGCAAACCATGGACAAAGTCCATGTCTGGATCGGTCTTCACCAGGATGAAAAGGTGCGTGCGCCATATTTCTTGTGTATATGCTTTAGGTTTCGATTTTACTGTAGCTAGAATCTTGAAGCGCTCTTAATTTTGTGGGTTTGATCTGGGTTCGTGATTAGAGATTTTGGGTGTTTGAGATTTTGGATTTGTGGGTTCTATTTCGATCGGATGTTATGCTAGGTTTTTTTATTATTATTATTATTATTATTATTACTATTTGTGTAGTCGATTGATTTGGCTGTATCAAGACTAACCTTGTAACGAGCTTCTTGTTTTGATATGTGGGTTAGTACCAATTAACCAGCTCGTTAAATATATGAGAAGAAGAGTTAATAGATTTTGCTCCGTTATCACTTCGATATTTGCTGAAATTTTTATGGGAAGGACCCAGAGGAATCAACCTAATTGAATTTCGTTATATTGGGGACGGTGTTTTCGAAGGTCTCGAATAGGAAATTTTCTGAATAACTTGGTGTAAACGAATTAAAAAAGCCAAAAAGTTTCGAACTTGGGATGGAATTATGGAACTTTTTGTGTAAGTATCGGTCTTGGAATGGGGATTATCAAACTTCTGGTTGTAGTCTGGCTCGGTTTTTGCATAATGCAAGCACTGATTTTAGGTGGGTGTTCTGTTTGTCGAATTTGTTTCTTGATTATGCCCTATTAGTTGTATTCTGTTTGTTGAATTTGCTTCTTGATTATGCCCTATTAGTTGTAGTGATCATTGGGCCTAGGACTCTGATTTGTGGAGCATTGTGTGTGCATGTGTAATGTGTTCGATGCTAATAATGCGTGTGCACCTGTGCGTGCGAGTGATCGGTTAAAACAATGAATAACTCCAAAAAAACTACACATCTCGGTTGGGTTGATTACATCATATTTTATCTTGAAAATTAGGAATGCCCGTTTGAGTCGTGACCTTATGCATTTGCTTAGGCTCAGTTTGGTTAGGCTTTATTAGGAGGGATATCAAGCTGATTGGTATTATTTCCATGTGTTTAATTTGTTTGGTTGACATCTTGGAAATGTCTTAATCCCTGTGTTGTATCACACAATAGTGTTATACCATATCCCATCTTGTTGGTGTGATACCCTATCACCATTTTAAACATAGAAGAGTTAATTACCTAAATATTCCAAAATTTGTCAAAACTCAACCAATGCCAATCCCAACCAATTTCAATCGCAACCTACTTCTTCCACGTCATCCCTAACTCGCCACCGGAGAGCACGATTTATGGGAGATTGCCTGGAAGGAAGACGCTCTGAGGCCCCTCATTGTGGCACCAGAAATCCGACTATGGAAGGGTTAGTGAAATTCCCATTTTCTTCAGATCCACGGAAAGTCCGCGGTCGCAAGGCCGTGACCAGGACACTCGGAGCCCGTCGGAAGTCCAAGTTTCTTTCACATCCACGAAAAATCAATTTTCTTTCAGATTCACGATCTTAGCCCATCGGAGATGCCCTCGGAGACCGCCGACTCGTGACTGTGAGTTATTAAATATCTAAACCAAACATTTAATAGATTAATGGGCTTGATATCAAAAAGAAAACAAACAAATGGGCTAGTATCAAAATGAATGGATAAAGCTAATAAGTGACATGGGAATTTATCAAGCCCAATAACAAAGTGCAACCAAACTGGGCTAAAGTACGTATCGAGGGTCCTTAAAAAAGCTTTTCCAAAAGGACGAGATTTTTAAAATCATTCCAGTTCTAATCTACAGTGTCTTTTCTATATCAATTCGACACCAATTTTGTCTATAATTTTTTTTTATTGTTTTAAGTTTATCATACCTCTAAAATTTATTTAAAAATATTGATTATCTTAAGTTTATCATACCTCTAAAATTTATTTAAAACTTTTGATTATCTTAAGTTTATCATCTGTTTTTCTACTAAATAACAAATATTAAAAAAATGAAATAATTCAATGCAAAAAAATAAAAATAAAAATTGAATATAAACTACAAATAATATTAAAAAAAAACCAATTAACAACCATAGATAAACATCAAATTAACATAACAACCGTAGATAAAAAATAAGGCAAAAAAAATCATTAACCATAATGCATCGATAAACATCAAGTTTACTAAAAACAAACCCAACATAAAATGAATGTTGAATCTTCTTTCAACCGAGTTTATATAAGATATATGCACAACATATTAAAAATGTAATGCTAGCAGGTGAGATCCGAAAGGGCGGTACGCCAACAAGCATTGTGATCTCGGCAAATCGTCGAACACCATCCCAACCCGCATTCCATCAACAATTTTCTGCAATGAACCCATTAGTGTCGGGATCCGACGAGAATTTCATTCATGAGCGAAAAATTCAAAGTCGTCGTTTCAAAAACAAAGGAAAACATAGCAAAATTTCAAACAAAATCCGCAATGAAAACCAAAACCAAAATCAATTTCATTTGCACAATGAAAATTTCCAACCCTAACGCCCAAAAATTTTGTCAGCAATAACATGAGCAACCCTAATTATAACATAGAGCTTTTTTATAACTTAGATTTATCTCTGTCCCTCGCACCACCGTTGGAAAACGCCAAAATCGGAGCCATCGAAATCGCCTCTCTCCGCCAAGCTTGGTTGTTTTACCTCTCTCCGGTGCTCACCATTCCCAATCGACCGATCTAAGAAGAAGAGAGAACAAGATACGGGATGGGAGGTTGTATATATATGAAGTGTTGGTGTGTGCGTGTGTTCTGTGAAGTGAAAAGGGAAGAGAGAAGAGAAATTGAATGAGTCTATTGTGATGGAGAAGATGAAGAATATGTCCGAAGGGGATTAAGAAAATAAAATTCACGTTCTAATGGAAAGGAAAAGATTAGTTTGTAAATAAAAAATTTCATATCGTAATTAAGGAGAAAATTTACTATGCCTCGTCCACCGGGTAAATTTCTCATCAAACTGACCCTTAATGTATGTCCTTCTCTTGACGGATGTTATTTGAAAAATGAAAAAATGCCTAAGGAGTATCTTTTATTTGGAAATACTTGTGGTTTTTGTTGGTATATGTGTCCCAGACACAATTTTTTTGATGACATATATACATGATGACATTAATATTATATTTGATTAATGTTGCCCTAATAAACTGCTAATTTATGTGGCCCTAATAAACTGCTAATTAGCACCTTGTATTGGATAGTTCACGCTACCGGGTTTTATGTACTATATGTATTCCAGACATTAATACTTACACAAATCACCGGTCCGGCTACACTACCCTAGTCTCTTGACATTATTGAGTTACAAAATGACGTGGCAACAATTAATATAAAAATAAAAAACAAAAATCTATAATAAAAGTTAATGAAATAATTACTTTTTTCCAAATTCCAATCGTCACTTTCCCCAACCCTTATATCACTTCTACCCTTATAATTTAGCCGATTTCTTTCAGAGAAAAGTGAAGGCGACGTTTTTCTTTTGATTACTCTTCGTTTCATTTTTTTTTTTTTCCGTTTTTCTATTCGCTGCCAACACGCAAAATAAGATNCACACACATTCAAATAAGAGTACTGAACATATATGGATAAAACTTTCATCTTCCATTGTTGATAACATGAACAAGAAAAGAGATGAAGGAGATATAAACAAAAAATTTTATCCTAAAATGTCTATTCGAGAAAATATGATACAATTAGATTTTTTCCATTAAGTTGCGGCCATTGCAGCCAATATGTTAAGTCTGGAAAATAAATTATGGCGAAGACAAATGTTTAAATCTTAACCCTTAATTTATGATTAATCTCATTTATACAACTCACTTTGTCTAACAGTTAAGTTAAATTTTAAACGAAAATACATATTAATATTGTTGTAGATCATAATAATATAAAAGTGAAAAATTATTGTTTAAATTTTATTTTCAACGAAAAATTATTGTCGCCACCGACCTCACCGATGCCCCGTGACCTCCCATCACCGCCACGCAACCGTACCTCCCGTCCCGTCCCTTACTCTACATCCTCACCATCCCGTCTCCCGACCCGCTCATCAACACATCCCAAACGAAAGCCAGACACATCACGGGCCCCGCGTGCCCTGTCAACGCCCCTACCACCGCCGTATGGTGGGCCCCCGACGCCCCCTTATTCCCCCACACCAAAATCGACCGGTCGCACGACTCGGCCGCCGACTTGTGCTTCTCCAACGTGTCGACCTCGAAACCATCCAAAAAACTAATTAATAGCTAGCTAAGTAGTGTCAAACGACATCGTTTTGACATTGCCACCAGATGATGTCGTTTTGCCTGAAACCATCCACCCAAAATGGAGGAATTGAACAAGATTTGCAGAGGCAAACCCGAACAAATTCAGTTGTGTTGTGATATTTGGCTCAAACTAATGGCAAAACTGGTTCTGGACCGTTGGATTTAGGTACTAAATCCTGCCCCTTGATTATTCACACTTCATGCGGCTAGAGAGACTCCCACAATCGTACTCCACCTCCAATCATTCCCCATTAGCCCTAGGTTTTCACTCCCAAATTCCTCCTTATGGCCGATTTCTCCGCCAACTTCACTGTAACAGGTATGTTGAATCCACGACATGTGTCTTGTGTTTGTACGTCATCAAAATTGTCCTACAAAACGAAAATTCAACAATGCTATAAATTTCATACAATTATATCACATAAGGTAAAGCATGGATCTGAAGCTCGGATTACAATGTGGGGTTTCTAACCTTAAAGTAAACTACCCACTTCCAGGTATGCTGCCAGCTTCGGGATGGAGATTGTTGAGTACACTTTTAAGAATGTCCGGAGGCCCGACAGTAATTGTTGCTCCCTTACTTCATAAATAAACAACTTCAACTGTATTGATTAACACGCCATGCTGCTGAAAAAAAAAAAAGGGTCAACCAACTTGTTTAGCTAATTTCTGCATAGTCCGGTGTATACAATCCAACAAACAATGCTCGATAATCGAGCATTCATTTTCCATCTACGCCCAGAACCAGCAAATTCAAATCATAAGCTTACAATCTTAATAATTGCTCAGTATCTTTTAAATGGGCAGATATTTTAGAGGGGGTAAGAAACCATTGAACTTTTATCTTCTTAGACTTATTACTGTTTTCCCAAATCTCAATAAGTTTTCCAACGTAGGGTGTTGGTTCACCTTCCTTGTACATATATACACAATAATACAAAACATAGTTCATCCCGTCATAAGTAAATTCCTCAAAGAAATTATCTCTTTAACAAATAACAACATAGTGAACTCGTTGATCCTTTCGCATTCTCCCCTCAGAGCATCCGTTTAATGTTTGAAGCAAACTACCTCTTTAAAAAGGGGGTCTGCCTCTTTTTGCTTTCCTTTACAATCTGCTTACGTAGGGTAGGTAGCTTTAGATCAGACATTAAGGCTTGTCAGCATAAAGCTTCCACTTCTGGTTTCACCTCTCTACACAAACTGCCGATTTTTTTTATACATTTTTTTCAATTAAATTCTAGTGCTTCTTCTTAGTGAAGCTTATAGAAAAAAAAAAAAAATATATATATATATATATCAAACGGCGCAATGCACCTTGGGTCGCTACGGAAACAGCCTCCTTGTATAATTACAAAGGTAAGGTCTGCGTACAACTGACCCCCCATACCCCAAACTTGTTGGGAATATACTGGGTATGTTGTTGTTGTTGTTGTATATGTTACTTGCTTACTCGCCCAACACTTTCAGACAATTGGTTGTGATTACATCGAGGCTCTCCCTATGGTGGAGCTCAAGGTCAATGTAATTGAGATTAATATCCCGCCTGGATTCTACCCATTTTACACCCTACCCCTTTTTCTTTCCTTTACAATCTGCTCACGGAGTGTATGCAGCTCTAGATCTGACATTGAGGCTTGTTATATAAAGTTACCACTTCTGATCTAAACTCTCTATACAAACTGCCAATTTTTTTAATACCTTTTTTTCAATAAACAGCACATAAACTATTCTTTTGGGGAAAAAATCATCAAAAACACTTTTTAAGAACTTGTAAGACCTTTAAAACCACTCTGAAGTCGGAAACAAATCATAAGTTGTTATTTCAAGGGGAAAAACTGATTGTTTTATGAGCTTATAAGCTTTTAAATATCTTATAACATGTTTTGAAGGGCTTTTAGCTAAACACATCACCTGAATACTTTTTGAATACTTTGGGGCAGTAACCCTTCCATTTAAACTCGCACAGCTAGTGGGGTGGCACAGTTTTGGAACCTTCCAGAGGAAACTTTGTCCAAAATTTCTCCTTAGGGCCGAAAGCCAACGACTTCAAGTCGAGCAATGGAGGTTGTCCGGGTCGTCTCACTTATGCCTACGCAGTTAAAGATGATATCGGTAACAAAAACCGCTACATTTAAACAATTCTTCAACATTCGAAAATAAAACAACTAAACGTAAAAAGAGAAAACGAAGCTAGATCCTTTCGTACACAGCCGAACACAAACGACAAACGACAGGCAAATGAAGAAGCAATAAAAATGTTTGGAAAATGTCCGTGCTTGCGGCCTCAACGGCCGAGTTTCTAAGCTACTCGTGATGCGCTCTCTGAGCTCGACATCGTGATGTCTGACCCGCTGGACCCATGGTGGGGCCTGTTCGGCACCGTAATGTTGAAAACGGTTTTATTAAACGACACAACCTGTGATACAAAACATAATTTTGTAAATAAAAATGAAAATAGAAGGTCCACATAGAAGGATTTTAGAAGCCAATCGCCATTTCCAATATGACATGTGGCATCAGCAGTTTGTTTTTTCTTCATTTTTAAGAAAAAAAAAATCATAAAAGTGGTAAAAGGTATGATGAAAGTGAAATGCATCAGAGTTGCTCCTCATGTGTTCGTCTAGGTCACCATTTTCCATCTGTCCCTTCAAGCAGTGATCTTTATAATCCGATTTTATACCCTGTAACAACACAAAGTGTGGACGAATTTTTACCCTGTAGCAACACAAAGTGTGGACGAATTGCTCAGATATAGTAGGAGTCCTAAAAGCAATTGAAAAATTTGGTCTTAAGCAAACATTATCTTGGGAATAATCTTTTAGGGACTTGGTGCAACTAATACAAATCGAGTTGATTTATCTAAGACTTGGACTCACCTCCCCCGTCACTTTCTAAAAATCATTGCATTATTGCATATATCCTAAGTTGATTGCTTACGCTTCGCTTAATTATGTATTAACTTGCTAATCAACTTAACCCGAACTAATTACTGTACAAAATGAGGCAACATACATGTAGAAGAAAATCTGAAGCCTGGAATCAAAACTTTGATCTGAAATCTGCGACCAGGATTTGTAAAGCTCCTCCTTACTGATTTTGTCCACTTTCAGCCGTCTCCTTCTACTCAACGCATCGAACAATTCCAACGCAAATTCCTTCGAATCTCTCATTCCTGTAACAGAAAATTACAGTTGTAACTAAAAATCAACCACTCATTTGAGCTCAACAAACCGCAATTAGCAGCACAATTAGCCATCAATTAACAACCTATGCATTGCCCAAAATCAGATCGATAGAGGTAGCCATCTTTGGCGAGTTTCTCAAGCCAATTTTCTTGAAAACAATCCCCAAACAAAATGACGAATTAAATAAAAAAAAAAAAGATGTATTGTGTATTATATCTTCAAAAGACAAAAATCTCCAAAAAAATAATAATAAAAAAAAAAATGATACCAAATTGGCAAACGGTCGTCGCCATCGCCGTCTCCCTCCTCCTACGCCTTCGCCGGATCCGACATCCCCACGGACCTCCGAGCAGAAATATCTCCATATCTGGACTTGAAGTGAAGCAGAAATCTGGGGTCTGGACTTGAAGTGAAGCAGAAATCTGGGGTTTCCACTGTCGATGGAGCCAAATTCCGTCGTCACGGAACTGAATAACCTGACGCCGGTCTTCAGGGACAGGCAAAGTAGCTAAACTTAAGTAGCGATCCCGGCTCCAAATCTAATAGAAAGTTCGTGGCAATCGCCGGCGACGATCGCGGCGGAGGAGAAGGGGAGGTCAATGATGCTTAGGGGGAATTTTCGCCTTGAGAATTGGAGGGTTTTGGATCGTCCGTGAGTGAGATTTTGACGTTGAGTTTTTTTCTCGAGTTATACCCGCATATTAATGTGCTTGTAAGATTGTATAATTGTAGACTAGTCAGTACCCCGTGCAATGCACGGGAACAATATTAAATTAACAATATTATAAATAGATCTCGAGTTTGAGTCACTGACGGAAGTGAAAACTACTATTGATCCTATTTAAAAAGAGGAAGAAAAAAAAATAATAATTATAAATTAAAAAGGAAAATAAACAATACTTAATAATAATAAACTAAAGATTCGGGGTCAAACAATTTAAAACTATTTTGTATAAGAAAATATGAAATTTACATTATGTTGTATAAGAGAATATAAAATTTGTATGTTTAATATTAAAAACACCTAATATATTATATTAGTATATATGTAAAAGTATTTAAAATTTTCTATATTATTTTTAAAAGATGTGAAGTCACCTACAACTTTTCTAAACAATTTTAGAAGGAAAACATATCTAAGAACATTTGAATTTAACATTGTGTAAAAGAGATTTTTCTTGACTATTTTGTAAAGAAAACATGTCTACAAATATTTAAATTTAATATGTGTATATGTACATATATTTATATGCGTATGTTCTGTATAGTTTTTTAGAGATAATAATTCAACACGTGTATTTGTTTTAGGAAATGAATAACAATCTTAATATCAGTTTTGAATATTGATAAGGTGTATGAAATATCTTCTCGATTTTGTTTTTGAATCTTAAAATTATCCCAAATATCTTCTCTTTGTAATACGATTTTTTTTTCTTCAATTTATCGTTAAAAAATATGTTTAAAAGGCGTGTGAAATGGGATTATTTCGTTACCATAAAAAATTAATAGTATGTGATAAGGATGCTCGTATGAAATGGGATTATCTCGTTACCATAAAAAATTATGCGATAAGGACGCTATTAATGAGGCGTGTGAATTGGGGTTATTTCATGAGAATTAAATCGGTATAATTAATGAGTTTAAAAGGCGTGTGAAAAAGACATAAAATGGACATAAGAGTTGGAAAGTAATAAATGCAAAACTGACTTTGACCATTAATTAAGTTACTAATTTTGATAAATGTTAATTCTTATTATATAAGTATAGATTATGAAATATTAAAGTTGAGATAATATGGGACGTATCCAACAAAATTTTGGCATAAAAATCTGAATCGTTAAGTGATAAAAAAATAAAATCATCCAAAATCATCTCATATGAGAACCGGCGGATATATAGGCTTAAACCAGTAAAAAAAGCCTCCAAAAATTTCAAATTGCATATGGGCGGGCTTATTCAATTTTTTACCAAAAAAAATCCTCATTACAGACGGAAATTGAAATATTTTTGTTGATTTTCTACTTGATTTTTTCAAACAATTATCATTCCCTCTTTATATATTAATAGATTAGTGTTCATCTCATTTCCTATCTAACCAATAATCTTTTTTT